TACGTTCGCTTTATCTCAACTTTTCATGTTTTTGTTGGCTCCTTTATCTTAAACGTTGTCATCTGTTACTTTAACTATTACTATATTATATTTATACCATTACTACACTAGTAGTATTTTGTTAATATTTGCTAGCAAAAAGAGAATGAGCAATAGGAGGAAATGGCAAATACCAACATCCTTAGCTCGTCGTATGCGTTCAGTAGAACAAAAATCACTGCAGTAGTTTTTCGTTAAGTCTTAATTGGTCGGTCGAGCATTCCTGTCTCCTGTCTGCTGAATGTGATACCGTTGTTATTCAACATTACCGTGCTGTCAGGTTATTACCATGTCATCTACAGCAAAACGAGATACGTTACGAAGACGTTCAAATACCACTTATGTCTTTCTAGTACTAGGCAAGGGCACTCTGTTCTTTTTTGATTCAGGAACTAAAGAGACAACTTGTTTCTTCTTGTCGTTGTAAATTACCTTAACATGACATTGTCGAGGACGATAAGAAAAAAGAGAACGACTGGAAGAGTTCTGTGGTCCATTATCAAGCTACTGACATCGGAGTATTGTCACATCACAAGTATTACGGATATATCTGTATACATGTTATTACAAACTGTCCTTTTTTATCTGACACGAGGTTGGTATAGTTGTTGTTATCTTTCAATGGCTGACATTTCGGCGAATTCGCCTTCATCAGAGCCTCGAAGTATCATATGTAACGGTAGCCTCACATTTCGGTTAATTACATAGCATTAATGAAGGTCCAGCATATGAAAAGGCTCCAGTTTCCAAAAACCACCCACCTTGTCATTGGACCACCCGTGTGTTGTACACGAGTGATGACGAGTGAGACCCACCCGTGGCGATGTGCATCAAAAAATCATCTTGAGATAAGGTGACATATCACGCGTGATAGTGATGCATTGGTCCTTGCGGTTCATTTTTTGACTTTCGAAATTTACCCACAGCGCCTCAAGAGTCTTGCGCGTTGGTGTTTTCGATTCCTATGCTAGGATCCGAACATTCACTTCAAAATCACCACCATTGTGCTTTTGTGCCTCATGTGTACCTAGAGGAGTAGTTTGTCGAGTTTTAGCCTTTCCGTCTAGATATTCTTTTATGTGGGTACAAAATGGTCTACCTGTCCAAATTGTACCTGAACTCATGCAATCCCCGTCCCTCTCGTTAGGACAGATAACAGTTTTCTGAGCTACGCAAATAGAGGCGGTTGCGAACTAGCTGACGACGTAGAGCATTGGGTGGGAGGTCAATAAATGCCACATAGCTTTCAGGACCACTTCTTCTAAGGCACCTCTTTATGGCCTAGTTCAAATCGTTTGAAACGATGGGTGGCTTAAACGGAATCTTATTTAGGTTTGGAACACTATTTTGGAGAATAATCCGACCTTTTGATCTAACCCGTGCGGCTTTTTCTTCGTAGCCATGAAAAACGGCTATTTTTCGTGCCAAGCTTAGCGATTCCTTCCTTTCCACTTCTCCTGTGCACACATTTTCAGCCTTTCGTTACATGTTTTGAGTGGTTTTCTCATGTGTGAAAGGTGAGAGGAGAGGTATTGCACTAGTATATTTTTACTTCTTAGTTTTTCTCACGTAAATTTTTTTGATACTCCGACTGTCCGTTTAACAATTGAAAGCACTCGTCCATCTGTTCTTGTATGGAACAGACGATGAAGCAATCGTCTATGTGTCGACAGTAGAGTAAGGGTCGATGATCGAGAACTGCAGCTTCCACCTTATACATGAAATCGATGGCAAGGTTTTGTGCTAATCGCTGTCCCATGGCCAACACGAATTTGCTAAAAATATCTTCCAGGCCACCTAAAGATCGAATAAGTAAGACACTGTTTTAAGACAGTTATTCTTTATTTAAAGTTTCTGTATTCGCACTCTGTTACGCATATGTTCTTTACGTTCTTAAGTGAACTCCTACATTTTTAATTCCAACCTTCATTTAACCACGGGATGAATACTCAGTGTTTGGGCCAAAAAGGTGGTTGTCCTGAAGCGTTGGCCAGAACAGCGATTTGTGAGGACCTCATCTGTGCTTATCAGTTAGGTCTTATCTTTTTCAAGGCAAGCCCTCATAACAGTGCGTACGAGCAAATTTATTAAGGTGTAGTGTCATAATGCTGTCTCCTACTGTCTTCGTGAATAGGTAGATAAGTTAGAAGAAAGAGCATCACGTCTATAATCGATATCGTGGTGATTCGTTGTCGACGCTAACGCCGTTTGTTACTTTATAACGTTTAAGAGACAGTAAGTATACAAAGAGACCTGCAGAACAAAAAAGTAAACAGTTCAATTTAATTTATCGTTCCAGAGAACTCTGATAATCAGAGCTGCTTAAAAACAAGTAAAGACTTTGTGGGCTCCATTTGTTGATACCGAAACAGTGGCCACCACGGGCGGCGTAGTGATTCCCCATTTACACTGCACCGAGTTTCCTCCCGATTAATTCAATGATGCAACCAATCAATAACGTCACAGAAGTGATTTTTAAGCAAAGCTAAGTATTATGCGTAGAGCGAGTAGTGCAGTGATAGTGATGCCCTTCATCACGAACATGGTGCCTGTTCGACTCCATCCCGTATTCACCAAGCCCACATCCTTCCTGGGTCGACAAATTAGTGCCGGACTTGTCTGGGATTAGACTGCCCCTGATCCATGTGGGAATGCTCTATCCTGGCTATCTCAGTTCCCAGAATAAATAGACGAGAACTGTCATGCAACAGTCGAACTCTCGCTCGAAATCTTGCAAAAGTTCGTGGATGATGGATGCGAGGTAACGAATCGAATGAGAAAACTTTTGAGATCGATACGGTAGATTTGAAGACGAGTCGTATAAAAAACCGGTATAATATTATATCGATGTAGAGCTTCAGTAAGACCTACACAGACCATGTTCATCGTCTTGTTCTTCTGTATTCTAAGAATGTCTGCCCTTTATGACTAGAACGTCTGCCCTTTATGACTTTCATCGAAATAACTTGGGCGGAAATCATAAGGTTTCTCTGCGTCCCTAATACTTTTCAGGGTTAACCAGTGCGTTCCGGTTTACAAGAAGAGTATTGCGGTGTTCCTATTTCTGTGTATAAGTGAGGCTTATTTGTTGAAACTGTTTTCAACCACATGGTTTGAACATCTGGTTTTCAGAATGCAACCAGCTTGCACTCAAGTGTGCCATCACTACTAATTGGATCAATCACATCACATCACATGAGGTCTATTATATAAGAAAAATCAGTGAGCAGCCGGTGTAAATCCATAGAAACGTTGCCAACGAACTTTTTTTTTTTTAAATAAAGCATGCTTCTCCAAACTTACCGAAATTGTTTTAGTGGATAACTCTGTCCCAGATCCCCTCTACGATCTTTTTCAAGCTGATTTCAAGATAGGCTTGTTACTGCATAGTATTTATAGAAGTAGTAGAAATGTAAGTCGGCTCTGCTATGGTCAAATAGATCTGTTCTACAGTTTAAAAGAGTGTTTTATTAGTAACGGAAAGGTCTTCCTCTATCCGACGAAATAAACGCATTTTGCGGATATTTCGGTTGCATTGTTCTTTTGCTTAAAAAACTTACAGTAGTGAAATGCTATAGGTGAGACAGCGATCAAAGTGGTATAGGGTGGTCGGTAAATTTAAATTGAGTTAAATGTCCAAGCTGGGTAATCACGTGATCGTCGACCTGAATGTTTCTTAGAGTCATTACTATTGTCGGCTTCCTTTTTCCTCATTTCAAGGGTTCTTGCTTTTAGTACCTCTTAAAAACACGCTAGGAATGTTGGCATAATTCAATAAATTCTGTTCATAAATCTGAGATTGTCAGTTGCAATCACCAGAAAGCAAGCGTCGTGTCATCTTCAGTTGATGGAATGTAAAAAGGAACTTTTGACGCTGTAAGAAAAGCTTTCAGAAGAGGTCCTTGTATATTCGTATCTTAACAAAATCCTTTTTTCCTTTAGTGTTTTCGCTCCCGTCATCGAATCTCTCTGACTCTGAGGAAGGCGAGATCCGCGGAAACGTCAACTTGTTCGTGAATAAAGAATAAAATAACACCTGGCTTTTGCTCAAAAAGAATATAAAGAATTATCTCCCTATTCAATTCAAATCTTAGCATACAATTCAAAGTAGCTTAAGACGGCGTTAAGGGAGAGGCGAGTCGTTACGGTAGCGCCAGTGCGTTCTTGTTCTAAACGTTGCTGAATCTTCGTGTTACGTGTTACACTGACGGCTTTCATCCCATTCACAACGATTTCATTTCTATAACGTTGAAACGATGAGATAATAATGGCCATTTTCAAATCTAAGTCAACATATAGCAACTCATAGTGAATGTTATTAAGTGCATTAAAGACTTTTAGGATCCGTAAATCTTTGCGTACAGAATAAAGGTTCTGTTTTACAACGGTAGAATTCTGATTTCCTGGAGGTCGCGACATATACTTCAAATTTTGTACACTTACCTATTCGCTTACAGCGGTATTAGTTGATCTATACAGCTAGTTAGTTTGTCAGCCACTTCCTTATGCCAGAACTGACGAAGTGAAATCTTATACATAGTCGCAAATTTTTATTTACTGCTTAATGATTTGTGATGGCAGTATACTATTTATATTTGTATTTATAATATATACTATATTTGATATATCTACAACGTTGCTGAGGTATTCTGCATTGGGAACCGAAAACGCTATTACCCTTTCCGGAGGTTAACGCGTTTACTACCATACCATGTCAGTCCTTAGTTTCCCCGTCTTCCATAGGTCAATAACACGGCTGAGAGACAAACGAAACGAAGGACTCGCATGGCGGGGTGGTGAACGTGTTTGCCCCCGGAAAAGGTAATAGCGTATTCGGTCCTCACTGCAGACACCAGCGGTCCGGGGTTTTGAAAATACCTTAGCAACATTATAATTATACGTAGTATTCTATCAGCTCGTCAAATTACTGTAGACAAAACATACCTGTAGGACCATTCCAGATGCTTCGGCATATTTTTATACTGATGTTGATCGACTTGATGGAGGCCGTTCTGAGAAAGAATAAGCCATGCATAAATGGTGAGCTTGAAGGCGGCTTATGCTATTGTCGTGATGGATGGACCGGAGCGTCCTGTCATCGACGTATGAACTGTGACGGTTTTGAAAGAGAACCAAACGGATCGTGAGTAAGAGCTCTTTTCAAGTTCCTTGGGTCTTCAAAAATTTCCTTTAGTGTCCTCCTTTATTTGTCCAAGCTACAATAAAAGACCACTGACTGTTATAGTTCTTTTAGTTTTTGTGGGTCTCAAGCTGCGATGTAGAGCGGGGGTATTCATCCTCTCAGCAGGGTCTCCCAAGCTGTGAAGGAGTCCGACGTTTCCATCAGGAAGCCTAACTAAGAGTAAACCAATACCAGGATCCGCCACCGTCCTGGTATCAATGTCACGTGGTGGCAAATCCCCTGTGATCCACAAGGGCGGCGACTGCATATGGTGGTGACGACCTGGGACAGAGTTTGGCTAAGTTGACCTCGGGACTCCAGGGAACCACAATTGTTTAGCCAGCAAAAGTCTGAAAAAGTGGAAATTATGCTGGGCCTGCACACTCGGTGAAGACGAGCCATCCAAGTATCCAAGTAGTAGGTAAAGCTTGTATTCCACTGATTTCGTATTTGATACAGGAGATGCAGAATTGCCTCGAGCAAACATTTTCTTACTGATTTCACTACATCAAGAGTCCTACTGAGGCAGTGATAGCAAGCTTAAATGTGGAATGGCTGGTAGAATCTAATGGTCCAGGCAGAAGTTCAGCACTATCTATGTCTTATATTTTGACTTTTTATGCAAACGCCGGAATTGGATTTATTCGTGGACGTTCTTAAAATGCACTTGTTCAAAATCTGATATCAGAACAGAATGTTCGAAATGAAAACACTTCGCCTCATACAGTTCATTTCTGAGACAAGAAGAAAGCGTCTTCATAAAGTTTAGTAGCAAAAGAACATGAACACGGCTACAAAATTTGATTCATTCTCTTTGCTTGCCAGTAGAGTAACGTCTTCTAGTTTAGTAATATTCATTAATATTCATCGTCCACGCCACGATCTTTAGCTGCTAAAAAACGAAATCGACGCACTCCATCGGACGTGGAGAATGTAGTGATTCGCACCTTCCCCTAAGAAGATCAGAGGCTTCTTCATTACTAACGTAGGGGCAGGGATATTATGTAAAGAACTCCATTTCATGTGGACATGAAGTACCACAAGGAATAAGAAGCTACCCAAAGTTTAGAAAATTGGCAGAAGTCATCAGTCGCCGGCTACTACTTAGGGCTAGGGCACGCTGTGCAAGGTAACGGGATTTTTTATAATTTAATATTTTGTGCCGTAATCTTGATTACACTGTATAATTTTTACTAACTGCCCATTATTTTTTCAAGCAGTTTACTACGTGAAATACAACCACAATGATGCTGAGATATTTGCAAAACTTGGATGCTTTGCTTGGCTAGATATAACTAGGAATACCCTTTTCAAGGGTTCACGTGTTCCGCACGGGATCACTGCGGCCCTTGCTCTTTCTCTCGGCCAGTCTTTTTAGTATAACGGTGCCATTAACAATCAGCCGTAACCGTTAGGGTAAAAAGAATAGCTGAGAGAAAGGCAAAGTATAGGTCGTAGTGGTGCCATGCGTAACACGTGAGCCTCCGGAAAGGGGAATTCCGGTTCAATCTGGCCTAGGATCCGAGCTTTGCAAATATCTCAGCATCATTGAAGTTATATTTCACAATATATACCCAACCGTTAAAAAGAGTAGGCAGTAAATAATAAGTTAAAATTAACTCAGCTTTATTGTGGTTGTCTCAGCATCATTGTGATTGATTATAGTATTTTTCGCAAAAGGTTCTGTCTCGCATGCTTTTATATATTGGTATTGTGATAGGACACATGTAGAGCTATAGTCAGAGGTGTTGTGCAACACACATGGGGTCATTGGTTCGAACCTTTATCTCGAGCTAACCAAGCCCTCGATCCTTCCGGTGTCAGTGAATTGCTGCCACATATTTCTTTGAGGATAGTAGCGCTGACATTGGTAGGACACCGCATGTCATTGCCATTGTGCAGGCAAGATAGTCATTCAGTCACCTCTAATGTTGCTTGTTTGACAAAGTCGAATGTATGGCACATCCCTCAGCGATTGATGAATACGGAAAACTTTATCCTTATCCTTTGCAAGACTAGCAAATTTATAAAAATTATTGCATACCATCACGAAATCAGTCCTGCTGACTATATGATTATCAAACAAATTCAGATGTGTGTCGTGCTTGGAAGGGTGGACTGGTTCCGACTGCGACGCAATAAACTGCAATGATCACGGAACTCCAAACTACGATCTGACCAGCTGTTCATGCGAAAAACCGTATTCAGGTTAACTTTGCTGCCTTTCGAAGAAAGTTCATCCTTCAAGTAACGACTAAATTTATTCATACGTCTATAAAAATATGCGTTATTGTGAGTAATGTCATACCGTGACAGAATATTACAATTCATTGTAATTATTTATTATTACATGGCCAGACATTGCATATATAGCGATGTGCGGATCCAAGCACTTCATGCATTCAACTCCTCGCATCCACCATCTATAGTGATCTTCGAATTTCTTTATGTGGCTTGCGAGGTCCCTACTCAATGGAAGACCAGCACGACCATGCTAATATCCAAGAAGGATGAGCTGTGCGATATCGGGAACTATGGCCCAATGTGCTTGCTGTCTGTCGTCTGCAAACTTTTCATTCGAGTCATTCTAAACAGGATTGACAGAACACTGGACGAAGGACAGCCATGTAAGCAAGCATGGTTTCGAAAAGGATTTAGTACGATGGACCACATCCACATGGTAACAAGGCTCATTGAAGTATCGCGAGGGCACAAAAAACCGCTAAATCTCACTTTCATCTATTTACAGAAGGCCTTTGATTCAAATGAGAAAGAGGCAGTCATGGAAGCCCTTGACAGTGAAGGAGTCCCTACTCAGTACATAAAGATTCTTCGTGAGCTGTACAAAAATTTCGCAACCAAGATATCACCATTCTACAACGATATTAACATTGACGTCAAAAGAGGAGTTAGGCAAGGCGATACCATCTCGCCAAAATTATCTACCGCCACCCTCGAGAACGTCATGCGAACATTAGAATGGGATAACATGGGAATGAAAATCGATGGTCGGCAGTTACACCATCTTCGTTTCGCTGATGACATCGTCCTTATAACACTAAAAATTAGCCAGGCGGAACGTATGCTTGCCGACTTTGATGAAACCTGTGTAAAGATTGGTCTTCGACTAAACCTCACAAAAACGATATTCATGAAGAACGGACTGGTTTCGTATAACCCATTCATGACCAACGGAACGAGTACCTTCCTGTTACGTCTATCTTGGTCGGGAAATCGACACGTTGAATGACTTAGCTCCAGAGCTGAGCAGAAGGATACGATAGGCTTGGGGAGCTTTCATGAGCATCGAGGATGTAGTGAAGAGAACAAAGAACACGCTACTACGTGCTCACCTTTTCGACTCAACGGTACTTCTTGCCCTAACGTATGCGTCAGAAACCTGGTCGCTGAGTAAGCAGGATGAAAGATCACTCAACGTTATCGAACGCGAAGTCGAAAGAACGATGCTAGGAGTATCCCGTTTCACACAAGTAAGGGATGAGATGCGAAGCTCCGACCTGCGTCAACGATCAAAAATCAAAGATGCCGTTCTGTACGCCAAACAGTCGAAGATAAGGTGGGCCGGACAGGTAATTCGTATGAACGACAACCGATAGACAAGAACCGTTAGTGATTGGATTCCTCGGGATGTTAAACACACTGCAGGAAGACCACCGACTTGATGGTCAGAGGTCTTCACAAGAGCCTTGAAGAAAGATATGATGCTCGACGAGCCTCTAGAGCGAGCAGAACCCACTGGGTTACTCCTGCATGCGACAGGGAAAAATGGAAGATGTACTGGCGCCCGCTTGAGTCACTCGACGATCAACGGGACTACAGGTGATACAGGTGAGGTGGTACAGACACACGTAACTGGAGCATTAGGAGATATTCATTCTCGTAGGCATGAATAGAGTATCACCTGTATATAATGCTGAGATATTTGCAAAACTCCGGACCACAGGTGTATGCAGCGGGGAACGAACACGCGCTGCTCCCCGGTAAGGACAACAGCGCGCGTTCGTTCCCCACCGCATACACCTGCGGTCCGGAGTTTTGCAAATATCTCAGCATTATACACGAGTTATATTTCGCAACATACCCTGCCATTAAAAAGAAAAAGGCAGTAAATAAAAGGGTTAAGATTGTGATTATCACCTGTACGTTTAGATGAGGGAGCGGATGGCACAGTGGTGGTAATATCCATTACAACGAGCATGGTACTAGTTCGATTCCGCTGCGACCCAACCAAGCCTGTTATCCTCCGTAGTCGGGAAGTTGGTACCGGTCTTGTTTGGGAAAAAATCACTTTCTGCAATCTAATTAGGAACGCCCCAGCCCGGCTATCTCATAACTACAGGGAGAATTGCTCAACCAGCATTCTTCGACATTCAAAGTAAAATGAAAATCGTCAAGTAGCAACCGAAGCCACACGCAAAATTTGGAAGTTATTCGTGTACGATGGATGCGAGGAAACGAATCGAATGTGAGAAGTTCTGGGATCCACACGCTAGATGTGAAAACTGATCAAATAAAAAAATAAAATTAGTCGAAGATCAATCTTTTCACGAGCATTATCGAAGTCGACAAGAATTCGTTCAGCATGGCTAATGTTTGGGATTACATGGCGAAGCTTCGATGGGTTTTCGAATACTTTTCTCTCCCGCTGCAGCTTCACCCATAATTGCTGATTTTCTCTTTCTAAGATCTTCTTTTATCGTCTTCCTGCATGATTTTGCAAATTCGGACATTAGTTGGTGGTTGCTTGCACCTTGTGCGATTCCACGCTGACGTATCAGCTCAAGAGTTTCTGGAGACGGACGTCTCTTGGTGACTTTGAAACTCTTAGTTTTCATCGCGCTAACGTGAAGATGTTCAATGAGCCGACAGTGTTCCATGTCGTTATCGAGAATGGGATCTTCCCTACACCCGACTAGTGAAATGAGTGAGTCCCAGTTTGTGGTGGTTTTGGGACATTGTCTTTTGAATTTGGCGGTTTTTTCTCCTCTCCGCGAGAAATAGAATCTTGCGCGGAGGAGACGATGGTCTGATCCCGTGTAGAAGTTTGGGACAACAGCGACATCGGTTAGGCAAAACCTATTTACAATGATGTGGTCTATTTCGTTATGGTACTCTTCACTGGGAGACTTCTACGTTCAGCGTTAATAGTGGATTTTCTGGAGTTGCGAGTTGTCATGAATAGTTTTGGTCGCCAAAATAAACTCGGACAGCCGCTCACCCTCCTCATTCCACTTTAATCCGTGAGTCTCAATGTGACTTTTTTCAGACACTTTTCTGGGTCCATTCTTAGCATTAGAATCTCCGATGGTGACCTCAGGGAATATGTGGTCTTGTCTGTCGAACTTCTCCAAGTCCATTTAGAACGCTTCGACTTCTTCTTCGTTATAGTTTGATGTCGGTGCGCAAACGACGAAAATTGTCAAAGCTGACATTGATCCACATTTCTGCAGTCATCAACGTGCGAGTCGAGTTGTCAGCTTTTCTAGTGAATCGATGTTCATGGACAGACTCCTTTCGGCATTAGGGAATTAGGATCCGTTTGTCTTACAGTGCTTAACTTTTGATATCCACCTACAATTTGCTGAGCTCTGAGCATGGAGGCTGGGTATACTCAGGGGTAACTTGCCATTCTTTCCTCAGAGTAGACCAGGAGCTTATTTGTTGGAGATGACTCCTAACCGTCTCCCATATACTACCCTGCTGCAGGCTTTTGGCTGAATTCACTGGAAGAGTACAGTCCACATAACCGAGAACACCACGAATGCATGAATGCGTCCTCGTAAACACAGGAAGTATTTGTCAAATCGGCGCAGTAGAAACGGGGTGACCATCCTTGGATCCACCTTCGTCTCAGGGAAGTAAAAATTCGCTTTTAGTCCGCGATTAACGACGTATGTACACCTGGGATGCGCGACGTTGCCTCATGACTAATCGGCATATCCGTTTATGAGGGAGATCCGTGTTTATCGACATAAATACAAGTAAATCGATTTCAGGTCGGTTCTGTGAGACGTTCGTCACAAGCGACATCTATTCTTACTATAATCGAACTGTCTCGAAAAGTGGAGCAATCGGTATATTGACGTGCATCCCGCTGATTCTCATCTACATAAGTAAGTTAAAGTTTATTATTTTAATGAACACCGAAGAACCTTCCTTGAAATTCACATGAGTAGAACCAATTTATAAAAGCTCGTAATCGGCCTATTCATCCAGTTATCGAACGCTTTGGTATAGAAAATTTTCCTTAGAAGTTTGATAAGGGTTGTTAGACAAAACTCTTCACGGTTTGCTATATCGCCTTTTAGTTTAGGGTCTAAAAACTATGTGACTGTGTTTCTTAATGTACAGACTCGAAGCTTCCGCGCTGCGTTAGTAGCTTTGACTCTATTTTTCGATTAATTACAATAATTAGTAAAGAAATGTAGCACATTGTTGACTGATGTCTAAAGTTAACACTTAAAACTCAGCAATTATTTGAAGTTGTTTGAATCCAACAGAATGATCTTTATCACGACACCGAAATTCTCCTCATAAATCTTTTGACTTTCACATCTTTGATGTTGCACAAAGCTTCAGAACACTCTAAGACTTTAATTCAGCGCTCCACAACCACGCTACTTAACAATCGCATAGAAGCTTAATCTTAGGGCTCACACGAATTAGGATATCGTAGCGATTTCTTCTATGTAATTTAACTACGAGCCAGCTCTTTGAAAACCTTCCATAGAGAAAAACAATGTGTCCTACCCTAGCTTGTGATCGTTATGCCAAGCGTCGTCAACGAGAACGAGTGGAAAAACATCTGACGGATACGATGCTCAGCCACCTACAGAAAGGCGTGAATCGACAAGCAGTTGCGTACCTCCTCCACAGCGATAAAGACTGACAAGTATTGCTTAGCAGTAACTCTTGTGACGAAGCGTAATCACTTGGCTTCACTGCAGCTACTGGTGGACTATTATGTGCCTTCTGAAATGTTTGATAAGGAGTGTCTCAGTGTCATATGTGTACAAGTATAAAATTCTTTAGTGGTCCTTTGCAAATATCCATGAAGTACGACAACAAGTACAAACTAAGAGCAATTGAGATATTTGCAAAACTCAGACTCTTGGCTAGCTTTGAGCCCATTATTACCCTTTCCCAGGGCTCACGTGTTAGTCACTCCACCACTAAGGTCCTCGCTCTGCCTTTCTCATTCCCATTCTCGCTTGTATTTCACATAATACCCTGCCATAAAAAAATAACAGGCAGTAAATAAAAAGTTATACATCAAGAGAAATCGATTTATTGTACGAAATTCGCTCCAGCCGACATGTAACAAACGCTCAACAGAGCTTCGTATCACAATGTATATGTATACCAGCCTACAAACGGGAAACACTGGTAGAAACTATAACACAAACACTGAAGTTAGAACTAATAACGGTCAAGCATACAATTCACAGCTGGAAATGGAAATCGCCACTGCAATTCATCCACCGAGCTGCTTGTACAAGATTGGCACGTAGTCATCCCACTCCGCCTATGTTTTCAGCGTATTTCTTGTTTCAACAATCTCTCAATTAAAGAAACAAAAGATATTTAAGTATGCATACCATACGTTGCTCATACTTACTTGATAGAAATTACCAGCAATTGGTGTACCAAGTTTGTGCTTTTTGACGAAGTTTTCCGTCTTGAAACCTCCACGGCCATCACCGGAGCGATTTGTAAGATGTCCGTGCTCAGGATCGGTTATACGGCCGTCGGGTTGCTTGTAAACGAGAAATACGTAGCGATGAAGGCCTAAACTAATTTCTCCATCATTGAGTTACCAAGTTAACATCTAAAGTTTTTTTATTGAAACAATTCAGTAATAAAAACTGTAGCTGAAATTAGTCCGTACCAGTGCCCTTTGGCGGTCCAGAGCCAACATACTCAGACAGCACATCGCCTTGGCCAATGTCGTTACCTGGCACATTTACGACGAGCCAGTGGTGCCACTCGCGATATGTGGGCTCTTTTCGTGAAGGGGCGTCAGGATCTGCAGTTATGATTTTGGCGGAAACATTCATGATAATTTGTCTTCAAATAAATTTTCCATGTTTGTCCAACGGACAATGCTACATCAAATAAAGCTCACCAGTGAAAATAACAGTGTACAACGCTCCCTGATCAGTATCCCAAACAAGCTTAGGAGGATTTTTCACTTGTGTTGGTGTTAGGACGTTTCCCAAGCACACCTAGGAATAAGACGTTCTCTTAATTTCTGTCTATATATCGGATTTGAACTTCTTTAAAACGACAAAGGAAGAGTAAAAGAATAAAAATCCTCTCGGCATTGATCACTTCCCTAGGAATACGCCATGCATTCGAGTTCATTAAGCATCGTCTGGAGGTGACTGAATGCATATCTGACTTTTACAATGACTCGCCGTTGCCTATTGACATATCGAGTCAGTGCTGCAGTCCTCCCAAACAAATTTGGTACCAATTCACCGATCCCTGAAGGATGGAAGGCTTGATGAGCCTGGCGGCAACCCTGAACCCATGTGTATGGAGGGCGTCTTTAACTGCAGCGCTACGCGTACCCAAAGAAAGCGTGCAACATAATAGTAAATATACCTCAACTCCACCGTCGTAAGTGGCCTTCACAGTTTTCGAAGGAGCTGCCCCAACCACATCTGGTACCACTTGGTGTTTCTTGAATGCTTCAGCAGCCATTGACGCTAAGCTCCTACGATGATTAAAACATTAACATATGCAGTAAAACAGAAGCTTGTAAGATTATAACACTATCAATGTATGATAGATAAGCATTCGTGCAAAAACTAACTACAAAAGGAAAAGAACCAGCTGAAACAGGCTAGCGAAAGACTAGCTGCAAATATAAGAAACTAATTGTGTAATGGTTTCTATGCATGAAGGTTTGAATATCCAGTCACATTAAAACATTCTGAAGTCAACACAAATCTTTCATGGTGTTAAAAAGTAACACTTATTTCTCGAAATTACTAAACAGTATATCTCATAACATTTGAAGCCCTAGTACAATATAGAAACTGTCTGGACTGATATTCGTGCACTCATTGATTGGATTTATTGAATTATTGATCAAGGAAGACCAAGCATCATCCACTTGTTGAACAACTCATCCGCTTCTGTACATTTCCATAGCGCACGTTTTCTGCACCGATTATGGCGATATATTACTTGATGCTTGATAATTGAACAACCCGTCCTCACCAGTTGTGCGGACCCCAGCATAATCTCCGTCTTCGGAGATTTGCTGGTTGCGCCATTTCGGTTCCCTGGAATCCCGAGGTCAGCCTGGTTAAAGTCTGCCCCAAATCTTCACCACCATAGGCAGTCGCAGCCCTTGTGAATCAGAGGGAGATTTTCCACTATGCGACTTTGACACCAGGAAGGTGGTGGATCCTGCTATTAGTCTACTCTTAGCTAGGCTTCCTCATGAAAACGCCGGGCTCCTTCTCAGCTTGGGAGATCTTGACAGGGGATGAATTCCCCGCTGTACATCGCAGTCCGACACCTAGGAACACCTCCCAGCCACGATGAGGCGGTAAACCGTTGGGAGGATGACGATATGGGACCTTTGAATTTTGTTGCGATAAGGCCTTCGAAAACAGGACAAAGGGGGCATGTACAAACGACAACAATGCTGATAACTCCCAAGAGAATCGGATTCTAGATCGATAAGAACGGAGTCGTTGAGAGTCAAGTAAACTGAGGCAACAGATTCTAACAGTTCATCCTCATATCTGCTACCATCTAAAACTATACTTTCTCATTGAAGATATATTATGGCAACAAGAACTCATGGATAGAGCACTGCTTCACTCCACGATTAACACAAAAACCTAGAGAGAACAGCTAAGAACGTACTCTTTTTATTGAAATAGCCACTTTAACTCAGCGGAACCCCTCATCGTAGTTTATCGGAATGTTCATCATCAAAAGAACATTTCCATCACTATGATGGAAAAATTTTAAAAAGTTCGATACTCGAGCGCGCGCTGATGGCGATATTGGCAAGGTCATGGTAGACATATACAGACCCACTTGGCATGATGGAGATTAATTCCTGACGTCTTTAATAAGGTACCCAGCTGAAAAATGGGGTAGGACCATAAAATCTTACAAGAAACTTAGGAAATTGGAGGAATTGCTAGTGAAGTAAAGTCCGTGGTAAAATGTTTTCCAGAGTTGTCATTAGAGCGCGACAAACAAAAATCGATGAGTAATGACTGAACAATCGGATTGAAAAATATTGCACATGTACCTAAAAAGTATTTCCAGGTAAGTATAGGCGATCTTAGAAACGACATCCCAAAAAGAAAAGATCTACGTTCAGTAACCCTTAGACTGGTCTCGATCGGATGTAAACATGTTACGACGACTAGTAAGAATACCAAAACAACTGCTAATTTGTACGCTGTGCCATACGAATGTGCCGCTTTCTTTTACAGCAATCGCGAGGTTGTTATGCAGTTGCTCTGTAACCACCTCGCGAGAGAGAAAACGACACAAGTCAGAAGTATCTTGCTGGTACGTCTTGTAGTAATTCCCACGACCGGCTTTCTATTAACCTCGGCATTGATCAAATATTTCTCGATACCCTTGTTGAGCAGACATGAGATGTTACTTCATTCTTTATTCCGTTAAAGCTGACGCTTCGGCGGATTTCGCATTCTTCAGAGCCTGGAAGGGTATATTGATAGGCAATTTACTAAGTCAAACACTCTGATAACACATACAGAAGGATGAGAATCTAAATCGCAATCACACGATCTACAGCTTTTCGACAAACCCATCGTTGATTACGTGCCTTCCACTGCGGAAGAACAGCTGATCAGAGTCGCATATGGTCGATAAATGCACCACCCCACATCAGAAGTCGTTATAATTATAAGTTGTACAAAAGACATTTATAATCCAATGCTAAGGTTAACAGAAAGTCGACCTTGGGAACTGTCCCACATCATCCAACCAATGGACACTTTTACTGTAGGTTTCACTTTATTTCCTTGAGAATAAACACTTAAATCTACGCAATATCCAGTATTTCCTCACAATTTCACTACTAAAGTTATTTATGTATTCAACACAAGGCAATCCTCAACAGTTCGTCAACGGTTTGATTGTCACGGAAAATTAATTGCTTTTTTACGCGGTTTACCAGAACGGAGGCACATAAGTGGTCTCAGCTTAACTATGAATACTGAAATATCTCAAACACCAAGCCTCATAGTAATGATGAACATTACATTCTCTACCTAAAGGCTATTATAGTCACTACTGCCACGATAATCAAACTAACCGCATACTTTTACAAACTGACAGTCATTTAACTAATAATCAATCCCTTCTTGGATTCTTAAGCTAACACCAGCTTGACAAAGATGTTTATTCAGCTAGTCATCGGCTCTGATGGAGACAAAGACGTCAAGACGTTAGCCGAATGAACATCCTTATCAACCTCGTGTTATCTTAACAATCCACGAAGGTATTATTCTCGCACTATTCTCTACAAAAAGGTCTTGAATACCGTCAGTCAAACTCAATTCCGGTCTGAGTAACTACTGTTTTCGTTCTTCCAGCTGTAATAAACGAAAACCACATGCCTGAAAAACACGGCAAGCCGCTTACCTCTTCACCAAAGGTCCAGTGAATCCATTCGACACACCTTGAGCAACTCGAAGCAGCGTCGTCATCAGGAAATAAAACGAATACGATTAGTCAGTATGATGGTTGTGTATCCGATATAATAGCTAAGGATACTAAACTGTTGACCTCTCTATGGAAAATCCTAACTCATATTCTAGAAATACTGTGAAATAACCTACTATCTAGTTCTTTTCTAGGTTCAATGGATGAAAGTAGCATAAAGATCAACTAATTTCGCATGACGTTTCGGATTGGGTGTGTAAGATTCCCGTAAAATGGTCATTCTAGATGGGAACAAGATTAACTTGGCATGGTGGTTAACGCGTTTGGCGCCAGAAAAGGTAATAGCGAGTTCGATCCCCACTACAAACACTAGCGATCCGGAGTTTTGCAAATATTCCAGCATCATCGTGGTCGCATTTCATTAACAACTAAAATCAATCTTTCCAAGTTCTAGTTTTACACTGGCACTTTCGTTCCATCAATGTGAACAATAACAAGTTCTACTTCTGTTTACTGCACTGTCATCGAACGATGGCACTGCACTTACTAGAAAAGCTACCCTTTAAAGCCTTAATACTTACTACTTACTTATTTGATAATTAATGATAAAAAATACAAAAAAATTCACAATGATAATCAGTTTCATTGTGATGCGCTGCCGAAGCCTTATGTAGATTGCCACTTACAAATACACAGAAGAATAGAAAACGATAATTTGACCGATAATGAGGTTTCCAGTAAGCTCCGTGATAGTACTCCACTTGAGACGGTCTTCAGTAGCGTTTAATAGCACTGGTAGTACTCAGCAGAACAGAAAGACTTCAAACGGGCCTAACTGAACCAGCTAGTACCAGTAGCTTCAGCTTGTTCTATTGAATATTTTCTAGTAACGAGCTTTCAAGTAACGCCTTTAGACAAACACACGTCATTGAGGCTAACAGCTTTCCAGAACACGATTATTAGTACCTAGCTATTTTAGCTAGCTCGACAGTCAATACACTTTCTCTGCCGCTGTCTAAAACATCGAGTCGTTCCGAACTTCATCAAACGAAGACGACTACACAATGTATGCGGACTACCAGAAGACAGTCACCGAGTACTGGACATCGAATTGCGAATGCTACGCACCTGTCTACGAAGCCGACAAAACCAGATGTTCGCCAAGTGGAAGAAATGCGAGACGAAGGAAAACCTTTGTGCTCAGTATTTGGAGGACCGCCTCTGGAGGAGAATAGTAGGTACGTCAGTGTTTATTTGCAACTCTATTAGGTCTAATGCTAAAGTAACTTTGCGAAGAAAATTCGAAGACCTTTTGAGTAAATCGCATAACACAGCATCAATAGCACACAGAAATATCGCTAACGAACAGCAAACAGGTCACAGTAGGATAAATAATGTGCAAGAAAATTCAAGGCTAACCGTGCTAGGAGGCATGACTCCCTGAAGGTGCGCGTTCGTTATTAGAATTGGGGCCGAGTTTCTCACCATCTGAACACATTTCTAAGATAACCTTGCGTAGGGTCGCATGTGGTTTACATGAACTTCAAGATAGACCCCGCAAAAAAGCTAGAGATGAAACGCAAAATGGAGGCGAACACCAAGTGAGGGCCCTACCAATAGCGCCATTTCTTCAGCCATTCCTTAGACAGCAAGAGCCCATAATGAAGTTGATGTTAAATTCTGGATGTTTACGAATGAAACTTTCAGTCCTTAATCACTATCGCGCGAAAAGATACAGCTCCAACCTCACTGAAGTGCAGAAACGTGGTATGCGAGAGGTACGAGAGCTGATAAGGTTGAAAACCATAAGACTATCCGTTAGTGATAAGGGTGGAGAGTTTGTCGTAATTCCCCACCAGTTATATGTAGAGATAACGAAAAAGCATCTTGAAGATACTTCACTTTATCGCCCATCATATGAGAAGGAATTTAAAAGTAAATACCGAAAATTGAACCACGAATGGGTCATAATGGCATGGGCTGCTGATTTAAAACCGTTAGTTATCTCTCAACTAAAAGTTGACTTACCAACGTGT